GGACTTGATCTGGACTGGGCTTGGATGTTTTCTCAATATGCAATTGTTCTTGTATATAAAGCTCTTTCTTATACACATGAATGTCTATGAATTTGTTTCTCTAGCCTACCCAGACTAACACAGGCCCACTCCTATGAATTTTCTCTCTTCCCCCAGGGCTAGGACCACCCATCCCCCTCCCCTGAAAACTCAGTCCAGAGGCCCTTTTGGCTGTAACCAGGCTGAGGTATGAATTGTTGTCAGTACCATTGGTGTCAAGGAGGGAGATGCCTTTTCACATCTGGCCATCTGTGGAGAGGTCAAGGTGAGAGAAAACATTTGGGAGTTACCTGTATGTGAACAAGAGGGGACTCCAAGAAGTTCATGGGATTGATGAACCTGTAGGGACAGCAAGTAGAATAACGGGGCTTGTCGGGAGAGGGGTACACTGGTGGTGGTAGGGTAAAAGGAAGATGAGGCCAAGAATTCCATGTAGAAAAAGAATGTTTGGCAGCTGATTGTGGTAGCAATGGTACAATTCTACTTGACATGATTGAAATATGGAGTGATCTATGTGGTAAATCCCAACTAGTAGGGCTCAGGTAGAAAATGTTTTGGAAATGATGGTGGCAACTTATGTACAAATACACTCGATACAATGGATGTACAGAATGTTATCAGAACAGTAAGAGTCCCCAATAAAATGATTTAAAAGTAAAAATAAATCCCAACAAGTACATAAAACAAGATGGAAATAATAATAATCATGAAGAAGAAGTTCATGGGGGAGAAATGGAATGAAAAGATCCTGGGGCTTCCCCACACGCTTCTTGAAGCCCTCTTGTATTTAAAGCCATGAGTGTGAATGAGATCAGGTAGAGGAGATATCTGTGAGCCGACTCCTGCAGCACTCGAACACCGATAGGTCTAGATGAAGGGCAAACGGGGTTGTCTTCCCTTAAGCCTGTGTTAAACGAAAATTTAGCTGTCCATGCCACCATAAAGGGGTTGGAAAGAAGTCGAGCACACTCATTAGACACCTAGGGGAAAATCCAAAGCTGGGCATGCTCAGACCGAAGTCACCAAGGCCCAGGTGAAAGCCACCTTGGCACACCCCTTAGACACCAGCAATCGGCACTAAACTCAGCCAATAAGACTGACCGGTACCCTCCACCACGCCTTCCGAGCCGGTAGGGCTGGGAGGGGATAAAAGCAGGTCCTTTCTCTCTCTTTCAGGTGCGAGCAGAGGGTGAGACTGTGCCCGCTCCTCTTCTGGTATTCCTTCCCCATGTTTTTCCACACGCCCGGAAACTGCCATTTTCCGTTGGGAACTTTCC